GGAAACTAAGTCAAGAAACAAACAGAAACACATTTGCTAGGTATCTAATTCATCTTATATATGGAAAACTAGAAATATTTATCAAACAACTAAAAATTATGATAGAAAAACGTGTACACCCACACACAATACTGTACGTACCTTATCTACCTACCTTATTTACATTCGCGCCAATTGGATAGCACGCGGTCTTTGTTCTTTTTTCACAAAATAAATGCGCATGTAACTTTCAAAATAAAAAATACCATTTGCATAAAATCCATAATCTATTTAGAAAAATATTACCACAATAGTAATTCAAGTTAATTCAATACCAATAACTCTAAAAATACTAAAATAATTTAAAAACATATATGAATTAATTAATATCTTTGAATAAAAAAAGTTTTGAATTTTGTAGTATTGGAAATTTCTGATGTGTTTGTTTTGAGGACTGAAAGCAATCGATTAAATTATTGTTTGAGTATCCAAAGTAGTATTTTTATTCAAATGAGAGAAAACGTTTTTATTTTGCCTGTCAAAATGGAAAGTCTTAGAATTAAATTCATTACAAGCTAAATATCATAAATTAATCATAAAGAAGAAGTTTTTTTTTTAATTTTTTTTTTATCATTTCTCATCATTTGAAAAAATTATCGTGGATGCCTAAAAATAGGCCTCTATTAATTTTTACAAGGAACAATTCTGAGCAGAATGCATTCATTAATACTTTACAACTTATTTTAGGTCGTCGTTCTACCAAATTAGTATTTAGTCCTACAGAGTACTCCACAATTGTTCATTCCCAACGATCACTAGTTTTTTAAGCTATGTGATAGCTCATTGATACTCAAGCTTGCTGATTTTGACATAGATTTGTCATTATCACTATAATTTTTATTTTACAAGATATCTTTTCCATTTCTGTTAAAATTTTTATGATTATTTTTTATCTTAATGAGTTCGCTTTCGTGAGTTAAGTAAAATTATTACTTATACCAATTCTGTAACAATTACAGTTATGATATATGTAAATAAATTATAAATTAATTTTCAGATCTGAAATTTGTGAGTTAAGGATGTATCCTACAAAACCAACCACATAATAATTATTTTTAAGATTTTAACTCAAATTTTCATAACCTGTTTGAGCATAAAGCTGACCCCTATTATATGAAATTTTCAGATAATAATAGCGTCTGGTCAGCTTGCAGCTACTGGAGAAACCTGTCATTACTTATTTCTTAATATTCACGTTAGGTTAATATGAGTAAGTAAAATACATCTACACATATGTTTAAAGTATCATACGATTAATTGAAAATTCCTGCGGTCATTATTTTAATATTCAATTTCTTTGTAAGTGTATAGTTTGCCTTATTTGTTTAATGTTACTTAGTACTTGAATATTAACACTTTAATGTAAATAAGTAAAGAATACAATAGAACAACATACTATAACTACTATATAGTTTCAAAAGCAATACCTACTTCAGTGTTGATAATATAAGTATTAAACTATTAATTAGAGTAAATTAATGAGTAAATCATTTCAATTAAAGAAAGAATCATCAAAATCCATTTGATATTTTAATGAGAATATCACATACGAGTACACAAAAAATAGAGTTTAATGGACAAAAGGACAATGAAAGAAATAATAAAACATACAGAGAATATTTCTTCTGTGTCTATCAAGTTACACATTTAGACTATTCTACTCTCAACTGGTCGCTGATTTTTATTATTGATACATTTAGTAAGAACTTGAATTCAGAAGAATCAAATTGTAATTTAAATTAAATGCCGTGTATTTACATGTATATATTGTAAGTATATAGACAAAAGACATTACAACCAAACGAAAAGCAAAACAAATTTTTACAATAATGATGTTGTTTCTATTTTATTTTGTTCGCATTGAACAATACCGTAAAACTTGTCCAAAATTTATAACATAAATACCAATCGTATGCGTATTTAATATTCATAGATTTAAATTTGGGCAAAAAAGCTTAAAATACTAGTGCAATAAAAGGAAAATATAGAACAATACCTTATTCTAAGTCATTTTTGTCCTAATTCATAAGCCAGTAGTTAATAATATATTAATATTTGCCGTTGGGACGTAAAAATCCATGCCCAGCAGTGGAGCAGTAATATTATTTCATTATGATTATATTGCTGATTAAATGTTTAGTAATAAATATAAACATTTTTTTTTATCTGATCTCTTAAATATAGACTACACCCATATCACGTGTTGAATAAGTGCTTCGGCTAACTAGAATTTAAACAGAATTATTGAAATCTTATAAGTTGTGAGACGGCACGCATTCGGGGCGGTTGCTTCTACTGTGAGTTATTAGCCTTAAACATGTAAGGGTCGTGACCTACCGGCTTTTCACTATTTGCATATTCGGCCCACCCGTACACAGCACAACTGGAAGTCGTCTACTTTTAAGTATTTTCCAAAAAGATTTGCAGTTTATTTGTATCTTTTTTTGTGACTATGGTTCTTTTTTTTTTTATTGAGAATTAACCTTCTACTTTGGTGATCTACTTCAATAATCTACTTGCACATACCCGTTTACGCGTTTTTAATTAAAATATGTAAGAAAGAAAAATGTTACTTAAAAAATAAACGAAATTATTTTTAACATTCAATCCTTTATGAAATTTGTTAATATAAATATAAGATGTAATTTTAATTTCTAGTGCGTGAGTGATAGTCATAATACTATTGTATATAATTAATATAATTGTTTGAATCTTAGCGTACTAGGTGAGAAACTCATTGAGCGGTTTTGATTCTACAAGAATTTTTTTAATTATATAATATGCAATCTAGTCTCAGTGAGTAGTAAACAAAAATCAACAGTTTAAATAAAAATAAAATAAGTAACCAATTGTGAAGTAGCTTAGTTATTTATCAGGCAATTAACACCTAATAATATGTCATTTTAGGGTTACATTTCAGATTGTTATATATATATATTAAAATTAATTTTTGTTGTTTGTTTGTGGAAATTAATTGTGTAGAAGCCCTTACAACTAGAATTTTACATGTTAATAAGGTCTTGTCATACCGACAAACGTGTAACGTGAAACGATAGGGTTTTCACAACAAAACAATCGCAACACATTCATTTGTGTACAGTTTGTATGAGTTATTGCATAATTGTGTAACTTAGAAACTGAAACATGGACTTTTGTAAATACAATTTTCTTTTTATAATCGAATTTATATAAATAATGATTCTGAATAAGTAAAAAATTTTTCTGTGTATAAAATAATTGAGTTATTAGTGAATAAAAAAAAATATTAAAACTAGCATTTAGTTACATATAATAGAATTTTACATACTGTATACTATACACAACTTAATCCTTAATAACAACTTAATGTCAACACACAATATTTTGCTCTATCTCTTGTAATTTTCTGTTTTCTTGTTTTTACTAAATATTATACTCCTAGCTTACTAACCCGTGCTTCTAATATTAGATGAAATATGTAACCTAAGAGTCTATTATGTTTTTTTGAGAGAATAATGAAGAGAATTTCTCCATTTATTTTATTGAACTAGGTGTTATCTTGCGGAAGTCTATGTCACTGGTTATTTGATTATTATTTTGATTATTATATTGAGAATTATTTTGTTTAATCCCGCTACCATTAGTATGTGTTTGACACTCGAAGATTGATCACCAATATTACTATCAGAACTTATTATATCTCTGTATTTACTCTAAAAAATTAAAATATTATAATTAACTATTAAAAATGCTTTTAAAAATGTAATCTAAAAAATTGGCAAATTCAAATGTTAATTACAAATAGTCAAAACAAAAAACTGAGTCAACCAATTAAAATACGAGCCCTGACAAGGTCGCTGTGCGTTTGCATAATGTGAAAACAATGCGAGTCGACACAAAGAGTGTTATTTCCGGGAATATAACATCTGTGCCTGTCTTTATCTAGTGAAATCTACAGTGACAGCCCGTTGGGACGTAGCAACTTACAAGGTTATTATTAACCAGCCATTATATATTCTTTTTTTTTACTCCCAAACAGTATCAGATGTTTAGAATGTTAATAAAGTTAGTCATAGTGTAAATGGAAAATTTTCACATTCGAGTGACCGTTCTGATTTCGAGAAAAACGAGTTATGTAGTAAAATTAATCTAATTACTAATTGTCTCTTTGTTGTTTGAAACAAAATATATAAGCTCAGTCAAATTAAATAAATTATTAACTGTCAATTTGTTGTTTAAAACATAACTAAATATTTTTATTTGTAAATTTCAGATAATTAGTGCAAATTTTTATTATATTCAATATATATATTCAATATCAAATAAATTCTACGTAGAATTCCTTACATACAACAAAAATAGAATCTTTTAAATATAAAAACAAATATATCTACTTCATACTAATTAACTAACTAAAGCAAATAGTTTACGAGATTCAAAATTTCAATTTAAAATAGATTAACCTTGAATTTTTCAAATCACGCTCAATACCAGAAGTTTTGGATCCGTCAAATTAGACGTCACTATGACGAAGCACTTTCCCCGTCATTAGAAGACGGGAAGAAAAAAGGCTTCGGATGTTCAGATGTAAGCGCCCGCCAACAAAGCCATTATTACTTATTATGGACATCATCCATCAGCCAGGCATATCGATCCAACATTAATGCATGCTAATGCTTTATAAATAGATATATAATTTGTTTTGTCTCCACCTCGGTATCCAATTGATGGATAGTTGTATTCCTGTTTCATCAAAATGTTGATTTTTATCCAAGGCGTGGCAGCGGTAGACGTTTTTACTTACAAGGAAATTGAACTATTATAAAATTTCACGCCGCAGATAAAAAAGTGTGAAACGAGCAATGTTAGCGGTAGAAGAATATTCAGTGTGTCAAATGATCATTGGGACTATTGACTATAATACTGATTATTAAATATTTTCCTTTAAATTATAATAAATGTAAGATTAAAAAAGTACTTACTTTGTCCTAGATGCACTCGCTTCATCCAGGGATATATTTGCGGAGGATTTGCTTGCGTGTTTGACGTCGACTTCGAATTCTTTGTATTATTTGAACTAGAATTATTAGCCTCATTGCTCTCATTGCTTGATGTACTCGAAGCTGGGCTTGAGATGTTTTGATTTACATTAGCTTTATGCTCTACTGGAGAAGCGATAGGAGTCGTCAGTCCTAATTTGGTGCTAGTTGTTCCACTTGAATTTTGTCCACTAACATTCCCAAATCCTGGTGAAGTTCTTCCCGGTCCAGAAGAGGTGGACAAATCCTGCGGAGAAGCAACTCCTGTCGTGGAAGTAGAATCGGCAAATTTACAACTAGCACCAGCCGCTTGGCTAGGTGGCGTTGACATCAAATTGGGCGATAAAGCTCCAGGACTAGGATTCGAATGATGCATATGACTGGCCGTGCTTCCAAGTCTTTGAGGATGTAACTGTGTATAATCAATCATAGACTGTGGTTGCATATGCGTGCCAGTTGCAGGTGTTGCATACGGATGTTGAGGATAGTGATGACCAACTTGTGGCGGCGAGTAACAGGCATTAGGGTAAGCAGATGCTGCTGTGTTTGGATTGTAATAATCCGCTCCTGGTGTCGGTAGCCCAGGGTGGCCGGTCTGTTCCACTGGTGTTCCAGTGCGGCCAGGCCCCTGGTTCCCATAGCAGGATGCAAGGGAGTTAACGAATTGGTAGGAGCTCATCCCCGCGTTATAATTTAGATCGTTCATTGATAACAGAGGTCTTTGTCCTTTTTCTCAAGTTCACTCGACACTTGTCATCGTTCGGATGATCACTGAATAGTGTAGTTGGACATGTTAAGTGCTACCGATGCCCGCGGTCCGCTCCAATTGTCCCGTGGAGTGCGTCTTGATTGATGGACCTGCGATAAAATGAGACACATTAGTTGGTCAAGTGCGTCACCTCGTTATTTGTGATGAATGTCGTAATGGAGCTGTAAAGTGCTTCGTTTAAGCAGCAGATGATATAGCGCTTACTATTTTTGTAATACCTATAGGTAACTGTAAAAAAGAACGCGTGACTTTATATGTGGAGTTTTTTATCGTTGTACTTTTGATAGCATTAATGCAATGCAATGTTCGTTTATTAATTAATGACACGCTACTTAAAGCTCATGTAAGTTAAAACTTATAGCTCTGTAAATGTCATATTCGTTAAGTTTTTTTTTTCAAATTGGATATGGGACAGTCGTTTAATCTTTATGTATAATATAGGTATTGCAATAAAGGAGGAAGTTATAAATATCATGAAAATAAAATACATTCATATATTCTACAAGCATAATTTTTATATAAGTCAACGAAAATTCATATAGTAAAATTATATAACACGCTGCTAATATTCTTATAAATAAATAAATGAAATCTGTGACTATATTTTGAACATAACGTAGGCCCACTACGTATAGTATCAATCACGATATAATATTAAATATATATTAAATAACATAAAAATGTGGCTTAATTGTCAATGTAAGTAATATTTTGATTGTTATTTTATTAGTGTATTACTACGTATAGACTCCTACGAATTCTTATTGATATTATAAACCCATGAATGTTTATTCATTTGTATTTTTATGAGAAAGAAAAGTAAAAGAGGATGCTGCTCATCTGATGGTAAGTGACCAAAGCAGCTTATGTGCATAAGCAACACCAGAGGACTTGAGGAGGCGCTGCCACTCATTTAAGAAAGAATAATAACTTGTCTTCAAATTGGTTAGAATTTAAAAGAATACTAGATAAACTTTTAATATGTTTAAAAGAGAAATAGCATGATGCTATAGTACGAATATTAGGTGTGATATCATCAAAACATTCACGATTAATGAGGTGTGAAATAGTGAATGTATATGACATACATAGTTATAATTAAACTAAAAATATAAAGAGTATTTTTGGAACAGATTTCTTTACAGTTAATCTATACAGTAATTCTTAACCAACTTATTTAACATACTTCATAATTTCGCAAAAATATAAGTTATACAAGAAAATTAAAGAAAAAAAAATATTTACTGAACGACTCAACAAAAAAAAAGTGGATTATTATATTTTCCATTCAGTGGCAAGTTTCAGATTTTGTGCAAGATTTTTTACAATTCCAACATATGGGAGGGGGGTCTATTCTAAAACAATAAATTAATCGGATAGCTTCTAAAGCGGTGTACAAATGTCAAGTCAAGTGTGGAAAAAATCCCGTCCCCGCCACGTGGTAGAGCCATAAAAGTGTCCGCAGAGCTTTATGGGTGTACGCGGTAGGCCAAATCTGACTTCGTCGGATTTATGAACTCCGCTCAGTGCATAAGTCTTTATGAGCAAATTAGCAGTCATTGTATACTGGATTTATTCGTTCCGTTCCCGCAAAGAGTGACAAATGTGCGAATTTTTGTCCATCTCCGCATAATGTTGCATTTATGCTCATATAGATTTATGTTCGTTATACTGCTGGACTGCAAGTCGTCGAGGTATGTGTTCGCTTAATTCATAACATTATACAGACAATATTTTAATATTGATTTATTGTAATTTTAAACTTTTAAATAAAATATTGTAATAAATAATAATTTCTGTAAAGTTATTTGATAAAGAATTCGAAATATCAACCATGTTGTAATGGAATAAGAAAATAAATTCTCGCTAATTAATTATGCAAATGAGCATAAAATTTAAAAATAAAAAAAATGTATTTCTTTTCTTCTCCAGAATGTCTTAGTAGGGGACTAAGATACAAAGCCCAATATACACAATATCAGTGAAGTAGAAAAAAAAGCTCCAAATAAAACCCTATTCCAAAAGCCACCTGGCCAATATGATAATGCTCAAACATTATAACATTCCACAGTGAAACGTTAAGGACTGTTAGGTAAAGTATACATAGATACACACTACCTATATGTAATATAAAATCGTAGTTTTCTTAAATCATCAATTGTGAAGTATATTCAACTGACTAGGTTTAGGTTGGATCTCAAAATCTCTTTTCGCCTTTCTGTTTAATAAACAATCCACTTGCAATAATACATATAATGTTTTTTAACAGGTATATACAACCTACCTAAGGTACCTAAAGTATCTACGATGTTTATAATGATAGTAAATTATTTTTAATTAATTTTATTTATTTTTACGCCTGGTCTGTTACGGGATAGGCAGAGATAAGGTTACGTATACTCATACTACTCATACTTCATCCACACCCATAACTCTTCTTGTACATACATGCCAATTCCGAGGACTAATTAGCCCCTTTGTCATGTAGCACTTAATCTTGTATGCTTTCATTAGAGCCGTAATATATAGAATAGATATAATGAAATGTAATTCTTTTTTTCTATTTTGTACTAACAAATATGAAAGTTTATAAAGTATAGAATATTTCTTATTAAATCACATGAGTATAAAGATATCCTCAATTAGGTAACACATAGAATGTCTATTCTATTCACATAAACAGAGCTGCGGTTTTGTTTAACCCGCGAGATAACTCATATATTCTTCTACATGAGTCGATTAAAAAGATAAAAGTAAATATTGAACAAAGTAAATTTAAAAAAAGAACTATGTATTTATTGTTGTACGAGTAACTACGGATTAAGAAGAATTTTGTTGTGACATAATTATATTAGTATGTATTTATTATTACAATACTAATGACTCTCCTTGGCTTCGAACGATTTTTTTAAAATAAACTACAGGCCATATTACACACTAACAATGTAGTCTTCTACAGGTGAAAGAATTTTTATATTTGGCTAAGTTTTGAGTTTATTCATTACAAACAAATAATCAAATCTTTTCCCTTCATGATATCAGTTTAAATATGCTGATTTTCAAATTGGAAATGATTATATTTATATTTGTGCATTTCTCATACAAATTTCAATCCCATGTCAAGTTCTCTGTCATAAAACAGTCGTTTCAGTATTTACGGTGTTTTAAGAGGTAGAAATAAAACCAATTAGGTATATACTGTAATATTATCATTAATTTACCTATCTACCATAACCTCGACTCTGTAATTTTGTTTTTAAATGTTTGTTATTTGCTATAACAAATTTTTAGTTATATAAATGAGTGTAGTTAGCTTGAATTTTAATTTAAATAGTTACATAATATATTTCATTACATAAGAAACAGGATTATATGGAAAATTAAATGGTATTGTCCACCTATGTGCGTTTGCTTACTTCAGCTATATTCACTCTATATTAATGCTCGTAAGTCAGTCAGTAACCAAATTAGTACCTATTTCTGTCTTTATACCATTAGATAATACAAAAATGGGTATATGTTTATTTAGACGACTTTCCACATTATTATATGCAAACTGTATATAAATAAGTATAATACATGCTTTATACTATAACAATTAATCTGTACCATGTGGCATGCAAATATGTATATAAGATATGTGAATTAACGGAACCATTTAGGTAAACTATGATAATTCGGGGGAAAGGCATTGTTAGTAATGCGCACTACCAGTCCTATTGCTAGCAATATACCCTGTTAGGTCGACTTCCACGTGGTCCCCCTGGAAACCATCCTGCTGAATTCTAGGTGCATTTAACACGATGGGCTAGGGGGGAAAGGGATTGTTCGCAATGGAGTTTGACAGCCTCATTGCTAGCAATATGCCCTATTAGGTCGACCTCCACGTGGTTCCCCCTGGAAACCATCGTGAACAATTCTTGTTGAATTCGTCTCGATGGGCTAACTGACCTGCTTCATCCTCACCTATCATCACTGGTACCCCGCCGGTGTATACCGATAGCGCGGGTGGGGTTACCATTCCATTATCACCCATTAAAAAAAACACGATGGGCTAACTGATCTGCTTTTGCATCCTCACCTATCATCCCTTACTAGTGCCCTGCCAGCGTATACCGATAGCGCAGGTGGGGTTACTATTCCATTATCATCCATTAAAAAAATCTATGATAATTTACCTGAATTATCTTGACGTTTCGACCGGGTTACCCCGACCGTGGTCATGAATAGACTGATGTAGCGCTGTCGCTGTCACTGTAGACGTCGTGCACAATCGGTAAATGCATCGAATAAAGACACGGTTAGTACCTATTGTCTGCAGAATCCTTCAGTATAGTGCCACAAATTGTCTATTGTGGGACAATGAGTGGGTAGAAGAAAAATACTTTTGCCTCAAAAATGGAGACATGAAAGCGCTACATCAGTCTACTCGTGGCCATGGTCCGTATCACAGTTTACCTAAATGATCGCGTTATATACCGTCACTTATAAAACATACGGCGTATAAGTCTAAAAGTTAAAAAGTCAAATCAATTACCAAACTAAGTGTATATACAACAATATGCAATCCGACTTAATTAATTCACAATTTGATTTACTTAAACGATACATTGATAATTAAATTTCTACAATTCAGTGATCATTGTGCATATTTAATTTGATAATGGATATATTTTTTGGATATATTTGTTTAGATATATATTAACAAAACGATTTTATAAAAATATTACTGTTCTATTATATTTTTGGGTTTAATTGGGTTTATACAATGGAGGAAGTATTGTATAAATTAAATTAAGTGAACCCGACATATTTTTTACCTTGTAAGTATTTGCTAATATGTAGTTGTACATCCAATTCGGCATTTTTCTGTGTTATTTTTCGGGTATGTTTTTTTGACATTACAATGTACCAAAATTAATTACGAATGTATTAATTATATAATAATATAAAATATGTAGATAGGTAGGTAGGTATATTATTTATGTAGGGTTATGAGGTAATAAATATAAAAAAATATAACCAAATCGGGAACCAACTTTTTTTAAGTTTATTGAAATATACTAATAATATCTAACAATTATAAACATCATCACTCATTAATATATTACAAATGTAGTATTATCATATGTAACAAATTAGTATTAGTAGTCTTTAAATCATGCAGAAAAATATTGATCAACCAAGGTATAGTTAAGATTCTATCAACACTAAGAATTAATATTTATTTTAATTTTCACATTTATGTCCACACAAAGGTTATATTTATTGATAGAAATAAACAAAAAAAAATAATTACACAAATAAATCATTAATCTTATGAGCACACAAATTGTATAAATATATCTATGTAATATAATTTATATGTTTACCGAATAAGAAAATGTCACAAAATATAATATTTAGTCATTATTTGTAAACTTCATAATACACCAACTAGAGAAAACATGTCACTTTCATTGAGTGATATAGAGTGAACTAAATTTGTTATTGTTAATTAAATAATATGTTGTATAAGGTCATTGTTACTTATTTTCATGTTATAGTTATTGTTGGATAAACTATATATTAACATTACTCAATACTATCAATAACGTCTCATCTTTATCACTGTGTATATAATAATTCCTTTAATATATTAATAATTACTCACATGTTGGTAACATGAATTTATTTATTAATTGAAGTAAACAAATAAATATTTATTTAATCTTATAAATAAATCGTTAATCCATAACAGCGTATAACTGTCACATTATAATAGGTAATAAATAAACGGTAGTTGCTAAAAAGATTAGTGTCTAAAGTTTATTTGTGCCACTAATTTATTTAAGTATCTAAATTGAAGTCAACATTAGTTTTGATTAAAAAGTCCCAAGGTTTACCGACTTAGAGATTATTAAGGGATTATAGTATTAGAAAAAAGAAACATAAGTTCTTCTCTGCGTTCTGTATTTAACCGATTTAAATATAACAACTGATAGGTAGGTATATATAAATATATCTTATACCTATGTAAAATATATATCGTACTTAGTCTTATTAAATATTACTCATAATATGGAGTGGATAAAGGTAATACTGATTAATACTTATTATATTTTATTTTCTTGGTTAGTTGGTTGGTTTTCATGTTTTTATTTGTATTAAAAAAAAGTTTGAAAAAATAAAATAATAAAACGGAATTATCACATGTTACGATAATACTATAATTATCTATTATGAACACCTAATTATTTTTAAGGCGAAGTAATTATAATATTCATAATAAAAAATAAGCACATCTACTGTTTATTTTTTTCATAAACTGCTGTTTGTTTTGTGACTTTTAATTATTGCTACCGTTATTCCTTTTACTTTTTCATCTATCACTTTTTTTATTATTTTTAACCACATACATATGATAACTTGTGAGTGAAACTTTAAATCATAATTAATACAGTGGGGTCGACTCTGAGTCTATGTCTAAAATTTAAATTTCATTTATTCTAAACACAAATATTAATAAATTTTTTAATAGATTTAAATATTAATATCTAATAGAATAGTCAATATTAATATAACATTAATTTATGACTGTCTATAAAATAGTACTATCGCCAAATTATCATATTAAAATATTAGTTTTATAGAAAGGGCGCCTCTGACTCTGCTCTAGTATCTATTTATATTTATATTAAAAGTTATTAAAACTTAAAAATTACAATATTCAAATAAACGAATGAAGTTTTTATTGTTTCAGTAGCATATTCACTGACGAGTCACCCGCATCTGTTCGCTTTATTTCAGCTTACAATTTTTGTCACTCCCGTCCGGTACACATTAAATGGGCCGAGCGATTTCATTGCTTTTTTTTTAGTCTTTTTTTTTAGTTTATTTTATTTTAGTCAACGTTGTTTATTCCCAGACATCCTTTGATGAGGGAAGATGTTTTGGATGACTGTTTTAATTATAATTCGGTCGTTTGATAGCTTTTATTGTCTTGTTTGATTTAGAACACTTCAGCGGAATGTTTCAGTTGAATGTGCAACAGAAAGAATTGAATACTTAAAACTTTGTTATTCTTGGTTACAACTTTTATTAAATATTATTATTATATTTAAAGCCCTTTAATATTATAGGTATAATTATATCTTTTTACGAAACATTTGTATAGCACTTTTAGTAAGCCAATTGCATTTAAATATAATTATTTAAAAATTAGAATACTTTTATTCTATTATTAACAATAAATATGTTATAAATCAAATAAAATATTATAAAATGTATTAAATAATTATAAATATATAAATACCTACGTATTTAGACAATAAATTACTAGAAGTAAAATAAAAAAATATTGACATCCAAACAGCTAGTTATTTAAGATTATCCATAATACTAAACTGTTATTAATTTAATAACAATTAGTTACATAATTGTTATTAATTTAAACATTAAGGTAACCAAAGTAAATTTATTATAATCTTTATAACAAATTTCCATTTTTATGAATTACAAGTCGATAAATTATTAATGAAATTGACTTATTGGATACTTATTTCCTTTATAATTATTAAAAAAAATCAACAAGACTACATTTAATTTCATTGTGTTACATTATAGTTCTATAAGTAAATTTAAATAGTTCCCAAGTCTGTAATGGCCATTTAATAATTTTAATAGCCGTTGATACTAAAAGCTCATAATAACTTTTAATGCCCGTGTCAAGTGGACAGTTTGAATCCACAGTAGACCGGAGATTTACTGCGACACGCTTTGATTTTACGACATCGCGCCTTTTCAATAATAGCTATGTAAATACTAGATAATTTTCAAAAGATTGTTTCCGATAATTAAAATGTGGTGTTTAAGTTTATTATTATACTGATCGAGAGTGCAAAACAAAAATACACCCTGTACATACTTACTTTTGTTTTTATTTTAAAATGACCAAACTGCGTCAACAGCAACGTTACTATGAATCACAACCAAGACAGTCGGAGACAAATCACAAACATCCCACAAGTTTATGTTTTCCAGCCACTTTTCACAAATATCAATTTATCAAAAAAAAAAAAACATTAACGAAACTAAACTTTAAAAGAATTTATCTATAGAACGTTATTCTCTGGTCTATAGAAATCAGAGACTACCTACTCATTTATGATAAAAAAAGTAACTTTTCAAATTCGAATGCAACCGTATTCCGAATTCGAAACTTCGGTGTATCGTCGCGGAGGAAAACGACTCGTGTTTTCCCGGCGTTCGAACGTCGAGTGCAGCGCGCGTCTGACGATTAGGTGAGCGGTTGGGCTGATGGGAAGCGAGCGGAGCAGGCGGGGCGCGCGCGGGGCGGGCACCACCTGAGCCGCCTCGCCACGTGTGCGCGCCCGCGCCCGCTCCCGCTGTCGCCTTCAACACCAGCGGATGGCGTATTCGATTAGCGTAATTAGGGTACACCGTCGCAACACCACGTATCCGATTTCAATGGACCGATTGATGATTATGGATGGTAAACGATTGGCCGTATTTTGTTGTCGATTTTTTGTCTTAGTTCTGAAATTGTTATTGGTCCATTTTTCTTTTCAATATGCCGTCAATATTTTTGTTTTGTTTTATGTAATAGTCCAATTAGCGGCTGGAATTCGTAGATTTGGGTAAGTAATAAGTATACGAGTAAGTAATAGCAAGAAATTATTTTAACAGTTTTACTCTAAAGAACTTTCGTAGCACTATCGTAGATCGTAATACCATATAAATACCATAATACATGTTTAAGGTTTATTTTAGTTTACAAATTCTTAATTTTTTATATATCCTACTATTTGCTATACTCTGTGTCATTGCACGCTTGAATTAGAATAAAACTATGTAAAAATTTAGAATATCTATAATTCCAGGAAATAGACCATCCAATTTATAATCAAAGTTGTTTCAGATCAGTTCAATCAAATGAACGAATTTAAATAAATTCGTTCGACTTCATTACTCACATCTAAATTGTTGAAAAATAGGTAACAAATCTTTTCCAAATCAACGAACAATCGAACAAACAATCGAACAAAAACTAACAACCAGAAATGTTTAGAATTGTTTTTGAATTACGAATAATTATATTCAAGATACATTTATTAATGTAAAAAAAAATATTGTAAACATTAAAAATGACAATATTATTTTTAATAATGTAGTATAGTGTACAAATGTGAGATATAGGAATACACTCGTTATAATTCTTGATACGGCGCACTTAGTTCAAGTCTTGTGGAGCGGACATTCGCAATGCATCAGAATGACGTGGCGTTCCGTGAGTAGTAAAAATTACCTTACATATGAATAATATTCGTAGATTATCTGTACATACGTATGTAAAACGGTCGGGATAATGACGCAACTTACGTTGTGGTAACTTCAATAGTAATTGATAATTATTGATCACTTTTTAAATTATGTTTATTAAGCATATTGTATGTATAGATTGTATAATTATGCATAATAATTTTTTGTTTTAACAAAAAAGATACAATAATAATTCATTGATTAATTTGTAATGTTGCTATATGGTGACACAGAAAGTACCTCTTCTTTTATTATTCAAAATATCATAAGAAACAGCTAAAGGTATAAAGCACGATACTAATATATTTGGCTAATTAAAAAATATTGAAATAGAATGAAAACAATGCAAAAACACCTGGTTAGGTAATTATAGGTTAATATTCTCCTCAATTCAGCGACAGTGGAATCTCAATGGGTTTTATGATAATCTATGGAAGACTATAATGAAATAAAAGTTGTAAAAATATCAAATCTCTAAAGATATTTGGACATTTCTTATTTTCTTTTATAAACTAACTTAGTGTAATTTTAGAAAATAAAACCTTTCAGAATTAATTAGTTATAAATTCGCTATCTAATTTAACAAAATTAAACTCTAATAATAGTTTAAGAAAATGGAATTTTCACATTTTGTATTTTAAAATTTTAAAAAATTAAGAAAATATAAGAAATACAATTTTCATTCATTATACTGAACCTAAATAGGTATCTCTAAAATTAAATTAAATGATGTTTCGAAAAATAATCTAACATTAATCTTACAAGCAAACATTTTTTTAATATAATACCTAATAAATTTTAAGAAAATTTATAAAATATGTAACAGTAACCAAAGTATAGGTACATTTTACCGTGCTTATTGTGTTAATTATTAATGTAATTTTCTGACTCATACTCAAAACTTATATTGATAAGTAATTTTAAGGACAAGTTTATATTTTATTACACATTATTATCAACGACTGACTTTATTTTGTTAACTTTAATGGAAGTAGATAACGAAGTCGCGTCCAAACATACTCTCAGACACCTAATAATTGTAGTCTCCGTTGCTCTAAATAGAATTTTAGAAAAAATATGGAAACAAGAAAACTCAAAATATATATCTCTAAATAAACTGAAAATTATCATTATTTATTTAGGACTTCCGAATATAGAGTAACGTGTTTTTAAATATAATACAATTTATTCAGCGTTTCCATCCACTTTATTTATTACTGTAGTAATAAATATTAAAAATAATTCTTGAATATAACTCATCACAGAGATTAACGAAGTAATGAAAATTAATAATACATATAGTGACTCTTTTATAAACAGTGTTAATGAAACTAAACAATTGTTATCAGCAGATCTAAAGTTCATTGTAAATCAAAGATAATGGTGACCATTCGTCTTGCGCGCACAGCGAGCTTTAATTATAATTAAGTGCTAATTATTACGCAGCACATCACTAAATGAAGAACTGTGAGCGGATTGGAGTAGGTCGGTTAATTAAATGTATGATTTTTTGCTGCAAAATAAAAAGTAATTACTGTTTTGACTTGTTATGTGTAATTGTTATGAATAATTACATATCCTTCTACGAAGAATATAAATGAATAAACCTATGGTAGGTTTAAGTATAAGTTTCTTTTTAATACTTATACATGTATAAATACATTTAATTAAATATAATTGTATTTTGTACCCAAATGCAGATGGATATTTTCTTTTATATGAAATTCTTGGCGACGTTACACGTCATAATTGCGTATTCAAATCACAGTCGGGTTTACCAGTGTAAAATATAGCTCCCGTTGAGGGAATTTATATATTAGTTTAGCGAATGAAATACAAAGTGTATTAAAATTTACTCTATTTATTGAACGTAAATGACCGACTGACTTCGTCCACAAGATCATCATCATCATATCAGCTAATATCCGTTCACTGCTGCACATAAGTTATATATATATTATTATAAATATATAAGTAACTTGCCACTTCAGCTTGATTTTTATATACTTAGCCAGTTGAATTCATTTTCCCATCTAATTAATGTCTAATTATGTCGAGTCGTATATACTAATAATAAATAATAAAATATACCTAATAAAAGCAACAGTCGATAAATGGTCCTGAATATTCCGTTAAGTAATTTACTTATGAACATATTATTATCCATACAGTCTCTATTTTTGTATCTATATTATCATTTCAGTTGTATCTGTAGGTAAAGAGTTATCCCTGAGAATATGAGGAGAACAAATTGTTAGTAATGCAAACTATCAGTACCATTGCTAGCAATATATCCTTTCAGGTCGACCTACACGTGGTCCCCCTTGAAACCATCGTGCTGAATTTCAGGTGTACCTATTTATTACGATACGCTAACTGCCTTTTTATTCTCAATAATAATAATAAAAAGACATAACATTTCAATAACTTAAATGAGTTTATGAGAGATTTGGTGTTTTTATGAATCAAAGGGTAAGTATATACCTAAGTAAGTCTATATTACTATTAAAACCCCTGTCAATAAAAAATAATATTAAATTTATGTCGCTACTTTTAGTGACTAAAATAAAAATAAATCAACAGGTAGGTATGTATTGAAATTAAGATATGAACGCTTGCTTTCAACATTTTACCACCTTGCACTCTATTTATTTACTAATAACAAAAGTTGTACCAAAGATTGGGCTTTTGTCCCAAAAGGAACCTTCCCTGTCCCGTGGGCCAACAGAATTTATTACAACTTAATAATCAGCCGGTCACGCGACAACATACATGCTGCCAACATAAATCAACAAGCTCACCTCCACTCACTATCAAAATTTATGACTTAAGGGCGACTGTATACCCTCTCCCTCAAATCTAATACAAGAGAAAAGGAACCAATGCTCATATGTTTATTTAAATGTCATTTATTGGAATTTAATTATTCTTGTGGTAGAAGAACTTGTTTTTTTTTTCACTTATAAGATTTATTGTCATGTATACTCGGAATTCGTAAATATATCGAATTGTAAATATTCTGATTAGGAAATTAATTCCAACATGATAGTACAGAATTTCTAAGTAAATATTTATGAATTTTGGATGGTGATATTAATGGGACGTGATTAAATTTTAATATGGAGGTGAGTGAATGATTAATTCGATAAGATAAAATGTGAATAGTTGCAAATCGGTGAGATTAGTTGGAACTTTGATGTCTTATTTAATATCTTTAGTATCTACTACATATTTAATACATTATATAAAAAATAATCATTTTAATAAAATACATATAATATTAATAATATTTATAATTAGATGTTGAGAAATACTAATTGATATTTATCTCTCTAAACTACTTAATATGTTGATATATTTAAATAGATACCTTTTTTAGTAGGTACATATAGACTAATAAGAACTAGGTGCTACATTAAAGTTATATTATCTACCTACCTATTATTTATAGATATCTAATAAAACTATGATAGCTAATTTTTGGTTCCCATTATCCTACTTGTATATCATATAAGTACATATAGGTATATAGAGTAACAAGATTTTTTTCTTTTATTTTTAAGTATACTTCCAATTTTTTTTATTATAGTTATAATAAATTAGGTAATAACATATCTTTGTCTATTTATTAAATTTTTCCAAAAATTTTCTATTAGAAAATGTATGAAGAGAGATAGGTAGGTACACCTATTCTAATAGGTAGTAGATATTTAATAATAGACAGTCTGCCTGAAAATAATAATAATAATAATAATTTAAGTAGTTAAGTATATCTTAAACAAAAAGTGTTTAAAAATAGGTTATTAATTTATATTCACATATGCAACCTTTTAGTTAGCTAGTGAAGTAAATATAGGACACCTATAGATATATCTACATAATAATACTTAATAAAATTAATTATAATTACTGAATCTATCAACATTTCTAAGATGCATTTTTTAAACATCTCAATAGAGTTATGTTCAACATAACAAGTCATACTTAGGTAAT